CTCTCGAAGCTCTCAAAGATTCTATATGTGCTGTGTATCAAACACCAGTTCTTGAAAATGATGGAGCGGTATTCAATGTTGTATGCGACAGCGGAAAATGCTCACCTCGAAACGACCAAGCATTATGTGAAATGCTCCGGTTGCTGGTATCAAAGAATAACCTCAAGTTTACCGTGTTCATAGAGACCCCCTCAAAGGCATTCTCGGATTGGACATTCCCAAAAGTATGTCAACTTTATGGTATTAGCAATGACCCGAATCCCGACATTGACGTGTTCCCTCCCTTTTCATGTGGTTCTGCAGACCTAAACAGTGATAAGTCCAAAGCCGTGATTAAACACCTAATGGCGGAAATAAAACTTCGTCAGGATGTTACTCCTCTCAACAAGGCAAATGAAGCAACAAAAAGTATTTATTCTTACTGCTATCTCGCTTCCGGGGTCTCGCTCTACAAAGATAATTTCAAGCTCATACCGGAAAAACTTATCGAGGGTCGAAATGGACAAGGGAACCTCGATTATGCAGTAGAGTGTCGTTCGACGGGTAGAGTCCTTGGTGTAATTGAAGTTAAGAAGGAAGATTTTATGAAGGGATTTGCCCAGGCGTCTGTGCAGATGGAATCAACTTTGTCACGTAAACGCAAGGCAGATGAAATCGATAATGGACAAAATGTAGATAGGGTATTTGGGATTGTTACCGATGCATCCGAATGGTATTTTATGGAATGTTCGCTAGATAACGAGGGGAAGCCATCGTTTAAGCTATCGGAACCAGTGACCGTTGTGTACAAAGATGAGAATTTGCAAGCTAAAGTAGGAAAGGTCCTCGGGCAAATTGTATGGATATTGGAGGAAGCACAGAGGCCGGTGAAGGTTTTGGAGGAATCGAGTGAAATCAAAAGGGTAAGGTCAACGGGCGATCTTACCGGGAAGTCAGATAAATAGGTCTTAGTATAGAAACTTAATGTATCCCGGGAAAAGTCCCGATCTTTGTATTTATTTTTTACACATTAATAAATTTTTTGTCAATATTTTGATCATGCCAAGATGTGATCAGCGAGTTCTTTATTAATGATAAAGATGTTACGTGACTTTTATTTGAAATTAAAGGCATAGATTAATAAAAAATATTTTCAAAACGTATACAGTATTCTTCCGAACATTTTTAATAAAATTATATAAACTGACATTAAACATGCAATCTAAAGATGATGAGTTGAAAACTCGAGACTCTGTCTCCTCGTTGAGAGAATTGAATTCCAAGCTTGTAGCCGAGATTGCCGAGCTTAGAAAGGAGAATGCCAAGATTCCCGAACTTAGAAGAGAGAAAGATTTGCTTATGGCTAGAATCGTAGAATTAGAACGATCCGCAAAAGAAAATGCAGAGAATATAAAGTTAAGAGATGCTAATCTCGATGAAGGGAATGCTAAACGAGATGCTGAAATTATAGAGCTTAGAACAAAGATAGCAAAATTAGAATACATTATTGAGGAAAACAGACTTAAAATTCGATGCGAATTTATGCACCCAAAATACGCGTGCATCAAGAATGATTGGTTAGATTTGCAGATCAATAAACAATA